TGTAGTAACCTAGTAAAGTAGATAGGTTGTCAATTCCCAAGTGGTAATTCTAATGTTCAATTTCTATAAATAATAATTTTAGAAATTATATCTGTGTTACAGTAATTATTTCTTGCCAATTAGTTGGATTTTGAGTATTTGTAATCTTAGGTACACCAAGTTAGACCTTATCTGATATTAGAAGCTTAAAGCATCTATACAAAGTGTAATGTTACATATACATAGAGAAATTTAAAAAGCCAGTGTCATATAAGATTTTAGTACAAATCCATAATAAGACCACTAGTATAGAAGGCTAAAAAACTAAGAAGATGGAAACCCACCTGGAAATTTTGAATAAAAAGATAACACAAACTTTTAATAATACTATTGGACTGATAGAAGTTCATAAAACACCTTTATAGGAATTGCTATATAAACCAGATAACAAGTATATAAGTGAAACACATATACCAACAAGATTGTTAGAATTATTAAAGAAAAAAAATACATATTAGACCATCTGAATTGAAAGTTTAAGGAGTCAGTCTGTTCTGAATTGTAACTAGTAGAGGATAATGGAGAAGATATTAAGAAGATGGATACCAGAGTTTAAATAAACTTTATAAGGGTAATAGTAGTTTAATGAATAATTATGATCACAAGTATTGGTTTTGATTATAGAAAAAAATCCAGATTAACAGTAAATAGGAAATATATAGTTCACTCTGATAGGTTTATCTTAAGAATAAAATTTCCTATAGTTGAGGTAAAAGGATCTGAATCAAGTGACCTAATAAAGTTAATACCAGTGTTAGAAAAGATGATTTAAATAGAATACATAAGCATGAATATTAAGTATGACAACTGGTAAAGAACCTTTGGACAGACACTTAAATAAGTAATATAAAAAAGTTATATGTATAACCAGTTGTACACTCATCTAATAGTTTAATATAGATATGTCTGTATAAACATATGTCCAATATAAGTATTAATAAAAAGTCAAAAGACCAAAAAGGTCACCTTAACACTAAAAAAAAATAAAAAGTTATAATTATTTGAAAAATTAAAACATTTTATATAACTATTAAATATAAATATTTTGCATTATAGTAATTGCAAGCATTAATTTAAAACAAAAACTATATTGTAATTTTAATTCATTATATATATTTTATATATTATTGCAGATTTTATCTTAATTTGAAATTGCCATATATAATTTATGAATTATGAAATAATATATTGTTTTAAAATTAGGTATCTATTTATTAATTAATAAAAAAATAAATTTTATTAAAATAAAATAAATTTTAAAAAAATAAAAAAAATTTTAAAAAAATAAAAAAAATAAAAAGTAAATAAAAATAAATTATTGTATACTTGTCTTAATATTAAATACTATCTAAATTTTTATATATTAAACAAAATATTTATATACAAATATAAAATTAACAATATAATTAAAGTTTTTTCATGCTTAGCATAGAACACATTTGTATTTTATTGAATATAAAGAATTCTTTTTTCTATAAAAAAATAATTTAATAACATTATAATTTATTTTTTGTAACAGTGGGCTAAATTCACAGTCAGAAAGTATACGCATTTTTAACAAATGATAAATAAACAATAAAAAAAACAAGACAAAAATAAAAGAAGACTATATAATAAAGAACGTGATTACTGATACCAATTTTTTGGGATCTCAATTTGGATCCATTACACCTACTAAAACCCACATATAGAGGGTTTTACAGCAAAAGGTGATGATGAGCCAAAAAAATTTTTCTGTAGTTTTTTAATATTGTGTTCTAAATGATCTAATTTTTGTAAAAATAAAATTTTTGCAAAAAAATTTTTTTTTGACCCATCACCTTTTGCTGTGAAGCTCCCATATACTCTTCGATTAACAATTTTAACCCTAAATTCTAGTACAACTATTAAAAAAAGCCAAAAAATATACCCCGAAAAATTATAAAATTTTGTATTAAAATAGGCCCTAAAATCAGCATCAGCCGTCACAAAGAATAAACAAAAAATTTTCTTTAGCTGCGAACATCCAGAAAGTACAATGTTGAAGCATAGTTCGAAGGCTGGTTGTTAAAACTGTTATTTTTAGAAAACAATGATTTTTTTGTTTATTGTTTCTCTTATAAAAAGAGAATTTTTTTATATAAGTAAACAATCATATATTGCGTTCCTGATATCTTTATAATAACTGCATCAAAAAACTAAACCAACCAAACCTGGATTTAATGTTCTCTTAATATTCTAATATAGTAATAAAAAAAATGTCAATTGCACAATTTCATCTCTTTTGATTCATAAAAAAGGCCGCTTTTTATTAGGGTTAAAAGAGTTAAATTATATGGGATAGTATTAAAAAATTAAGAATGGACCCTGTAATCAAAAAGGATTGATTTGCTTCGGTATGTAACTTTGTCAGGTTACGACTATCCATCATAATGATAGATACAATTGACTCCACTTAAAGAATTTTCCGCGAAGTAAAATTTATTCCCAGACACTTTTTGACCAATCGATTAAGGCGCTTGAGAACCCCTTAATTGGTTTATAATAATTCGTAGAGACTCATGTAACCAACTACCAATGAAACTATTGTCATCAGGTAATAAATCTATTTTATACAACGTTTCACGACATTTTACATTGGTTTATATAACGGAGACGAATTCCGAATTTAACCGTTATACTATATCCATAATTCTTCCAAAATGATAATGTTACCGAATGAATGCCTTTCTGAAATATTTAATAATTTTCGAACTAATTACAAAACCTTATTTTCTTGCCTTCTTGTAAGCCGTCAATGGTGTAGACTTATTGTGCCATTATTATGGAGTGAACCTACAAATTACTTTCGTGATAAAAGATTTATGAGAATATATCTTTTGGCATTAAATACTGAAGAACAAGCTTTATTGATCCCCTTTAAACATATTCTTCCAAATTATTCAAAGCCATTATTTGAGTATGAAAGTTATACCACATCTGTTGGTCCTTATTTGGTCGATGGAATCAAAAATTGGCTTAGAAATGAAGAATATTATGTACGTTATAACACAAGAGATCAACTTGTAAATGATATCGAATGCACTTTAGTTGCAATGTTTCTGCGAGCAAGTAAAAATCTTAAACATTTAACACTTAATAATGCTACTAATAAAATAATAACATCAGGTGCACTTTTCAAAAGTACCACGTTGCCTTCTTTAAATCTTCGAAATTGTTACCTTGGAACAGATGCAAGAGATACATTAGCAGGTGCACTTTACGAGAACGTTAAGCTTACTTCTTTGAGTTTTTATCTTAATAATCTTGGACCCGAAGGAGGAAGTGTAATAGCAAATGCACTTTACAAGAACACCACGTTAACCTCTTTGTATCTTGTTAATAATAAAATTGGACCTGAAGGAGGAAAAGCTTTAGCAGATGCACTTTACAAGAACGTCACATTAACTTCTCTTAATCTCGATTATAATAATCTTGGATCAGAAGGAGGAAAAGAATTAGCAAATGCACTTTACAAGAACACCACGTTAACCTCTTTGTATCTTGTTAATAATGAAATTGGACCTGAAGGAGGAAAAGCTTTAGCAGGTGCACTTTACAAGAACGCTTCGTTGACTTTTCTGAGTGTTAGTTCTAATAATCTTGGATCTGAAGGAGGCAAGGCATTAGCAAATGCACTATGTAAGAATAGCACGTTGACTTCTTTGGTTCTTCGACTTAATAATCTTGGAGCAGAAAGTGCAAAAGCATTTGCAAATGCACTTTGTGAGAACACCACGCTGACTTATTTGGATCTTTGGACTAATAATCTTGGACCGAAAGGAGTAAAAGTATTAACAAACGCGTTTTGCAAGAATACTACACTGACTTCTTTAAATCTTAATTATAATAATATTGGATCAAAAGGAGGAAAAGCATTAGCAGATGCACTTTGCAATAACAGCACGCTGAAAGAATTATATATTCGTGATAACAATATTAATTTTACTATAAAATCAAATAATCCAAATATTAAAATATATCAATAGAAATAAATTATACCAATATTAATAAACTTAATATGCAAAATCTGTACAATGTAATAATTAGAATGTAAAAAGTAAAAAATTCAATAAAGTATTGATCACATAATTTTATGCTCTTGGTTTATCATAATTAAATGCCTTATATTTATTCATTTTAACCAATTTACCATTGCAATAACAAATTGCAAGAATTATTTGAGCCATAGGATCAAAATCGTTATCCAAATTTCCCTTTTTCCACTAGAAATCGTTCTAAGGTGTTAGAAATTGAATTTGAAGGGTTGACTTTAAATAGTTTCTCATTATATAGATCATACATTTCTTTAACTTCATTAAGAAATGATGTGATTTATCTTCTAAATGCAATTGGTTAAATTCGTTGGATATTATAGTAGCATCTAATTGATTGTCTAGTCATTTTCAATTGACATTTTGACTCAACAAAAAAAGATTGTATAAATAAACTTGGCAAATAATAAATTTTATTGATATCCATAATATAGTAATTATGAAGAAAAATTTTAAATTAATACACTTTATATTAGTAGATTTTTACAAAATAAATTATTTTTAGAAAGATAAAACTTATAAGCAAATAAATCTCAAAATCTGATTGGTTGGCCCATTGCCTTTTGATGCGGCGAGCCTCATATCAATAGTAAAACAGATATATATCCGTATAAATCAAATCGATATTAGTGATATTAACTGATAACTATCTGGATAAATGTTTAATGGATTGGAACTCTAATTGCAACTGTGTTTAAATACCACTGATGCGATTTAGTAAATCCGTATAAAAGATAGAATTTGACCGGTTTAATAAACAAATAATTAAATATAGCAAGCACAGTAAAATATTCCGTACTAATTACTTGATAATAATATTATTATTTAAAATTAACAAATTTTCGTAATTTTAAATTTATTTTTTTAGAATGTAACAAAGAAACAAAGTTAATCAGATTTAGACTTCATTGATTTTTGTGGATATGATCTCTTCGTGGCCTCTTTTAAAACTCTGTTCCAAATTCTCTTCACAAAATAGCATTTTTCATAAACTTCGGAACGACGTTGACAACTTATTAATTCTGGCTTCGTAACTTATCAATTCGATCATAAAAATTTTTAGCTGTTTTCCATCTTCAAAATTGTCAAATTACTTTTTCAAAGAAATTAGCATTCTCATGTCCAAAATCGATTATCACAAAAGATTCGACTTTCGACTCTAAAGGAGTCGATTCCAAACACTATTCATCCTCGTTGCACTTGGCGCCCTGCTCTAAATTATTTTATACCATGATATTACTAACAATTTTTTCTGTAGTTTTGTCTCAACCTCGTTTCAAACTTCACTTTTTTATAGGACGCTGTTTATTAGCAATATCAGATCATATCTCAGAATCGAGTCCTAACGTTGTTTAAAGTTAGAAATTAATTTTAAATTTAAAATGTGTCAAATTCTTTCACTATAACAATTTACTGGCAAATGACCCGCTCCTTCAGCATGGGAACTAAATTTTTAATTAATATGTTACAATATTAGATTCAACTAATCAAATCGCCAAAAGCTTGATAAAATATACAAATAGATGTTATTTAAATATTTATATAATTTTTTACAGCATCAAATATCCAACTCTCTAAAGAGCGAGAGGTTGCTTTATGGCTACATATAAATATTATCTATGAAATATGGTGTTGGTATACCCAATCTATGTGGGGAAACAATACTATTTCAGAACTGGCAATAGGAAAAATTGTTGAACACCGAATGAAAAGAAGTCTAATAATTTTAGATAAATTACAAAAAAGCAAGAAAGTACTTAAACTTGTTAAATTCATAGATAGTAAATGTTTTACTTGTATATAATGTAAAATTCCATAATATTTAATTTTAATAAAAAGAACGCCAATTCGCGTATAAAAAAAAAAAAAAAAAAAAAAAAAAAAAAAAAAATATTTATATAGACGAACGACCATCACTGAAATCATGAACCCTCTAATAAATTCTCCTACTCACCGTCGAAATAGTGAACCCACTCGTTTTACTGTTGAATTAGAATCTGTATTATTGAAATTATGACTCATCTATTGTTGAAATTACAAATATGCTCACTGTTGAAATCACTACTAAATTATAATCTTAACCTCATTTATCGTTAAAAAACATGAACCCACCAACCATTATAATCACAAATTCTTCCACTATTATATCACCGATTTGCCCACTGTTAAAATCACGAATCCACCTACTCTCGACACTATGAACTTGAAATCATGGATTATTTAGTACATTACTTTATGTAAAATCATGAACTCTTCTACTACTGCACTATTGTAATTATGATCCCACCCACTGCTAAGATCACGATAGTTAATCTAGATCTCAACTTTTGTTAAAGTCACGAATTAACCACTATCTAATTTAAAAACCTACCTTCACTAAATCATTAATATTTCGAACGTTAAAAATCTCAATTCTACTTAATATTTAAATACGAACTTACTCACCGTTAAGGATGATGTTTTTTATTTAAATTCTATAAAATTATAGTATTTAAATTTATCATATTTATCCTGATAATTACTAAGAAACTTTTATAATGTTTATCAAAACTATATTGAAATTATTTTCAAAATTTAAGCCATTTACAAATTAGGCCATGCAAAATTTAAAAGCTTGAAAGATTTTTTTTATATGTTTTAATAACCAGGTGGGTTTTTTTTTAAAAAAAAAAATTTATAAAGAAAAAAGCCGGCTTATGAAAATCAAGAAATTAGATCAATTTTTTTAAATTTGAATACTATAAACCTGTAAAATTCAAATAAAATTTTTATAAATTTATCTGATATTTACTAAGATATATTTGTTCAGAGTTTGAAAATTTAATTTGTAAAAAGATATAAAAAATATCAAGTCTGGAATATTTATTATAAAACACATTTATGGTGATTTGTCACCTATCATATGTTTTTATTATGTTTTTTCTAAGTTTTTATAAGTTTTGAACACGTCACTCTGGTTATATTGACACCTCAAAAAAATCAAAAAATTGTCCGATATATCCAGTTTCGGCTTAACAGCGGCAATTTCATAATAAGGTATAGGCTCAAATTTTTAATAACTTGTATAAGGTTAAGGAAGAGATTTGGAGGTGTAGACCATTTTTCCTTAGAACCTTTTACCGATCAATTGGTCAGCTTTTGAGATAATACATTTATGGTAGGGTTAAACAAATTTTTGTAAGTTACATATTTTTGCAAATTTACACTAAGATACACATAGATATAACTTACATGTTTCTTATATCAAAAATTTAAAATTTACACAAAATGTCCAACCCTAATTCATAAATGTAAAACACCATAGGGGCGTTTTAATAAATGTCAATTTGAAAATATATTACCAATTCTTTATTTAAAATAAAGCTTTGTAATGTTTTATTTATTTATACATTATGTTAAAAAGATTTTTAATATGAAATACCATTTATACCATATTTTCAATTTAAAGTATCGGAAAGTAATTTTTTATTTATGATTTTTGTCTATAAAAAGAATTTTTGTTGAGAAAATAATTTTTTAAAAAATGATATAAAATTATACGTTTAAAGAACTGACCAATTGAGCTTTTTTTTTATTTGTTGCGAATTAATGTTATAAATTTGCTTTAAAAATTGAACTTCATTTCAATAACATAATTAACAATTTTAAAATAATCAATAACTCCAATCTTACAACAATTGCCCAAATAATAACAATTAGCAATCAACGTATATTTGTTCAAATGGTACCAATTTAACGTATTCGTCCAAATCATTTTTAAATCGACCCCAATTAGTGTCAAGATCGATTAAATCATATATGTATACTTCTTCCAAAGTCTTCTTCCGTATGCAAAATCCAATTAATGCATCTGTTGTTTTTTTATCACCATAGTTAATTTTCAATAACAGTTTTTTTAAAGGAGCATTACAATAAATGAGAAGAACGTCAATAAATGAGTATGAAGAATTATTCCAATTCTTGTGTAAATCAAGATACTCTAATGTCGATGGCAACGTTTCAGCCAATTGCATAATGCATGTTTTCATATTTTCATCTGATCCATCATCCATCCACTGTAAGGTGAGATATTGAAGTTTTTGTAGGCAGCCAATAAGATTCAAAAATTTAGCAGAAAGCTTAATATTTGAGAAGCAAAGATAAGTGATGTTTGGACAGAAGGATGTAAGAGTCTCTAGTAATAATGGTATTGAAGGAATTTCCTTTTGCTCCGAAAAAAGTCTTAGCCTTTGTAATAATGGACCGGACTTTTGTAACATTTGTAATATATTTGATGCATTAATCGAATAAGAACAGATGTCTAAAGTATTGATCTTATGAAGACTATTTCCTATCATACTTAATATATTATGTGTATCTCCACAATGATACATACGAAAAACTTCCAAATTTTTGTAATTCTTTAGCTCGTTAAAATCAGTGCTATAAAAACAACTCTCTAGTATAAGTTCTTTTAATGAATCTTGTTGACATCCTAGGGCTGAAACAATACTTCCAAAACTACCGAGCAAGCTAAACCGTCTAAGTTGCTCTTGAGATTTAATGACGCAAGCGAATGTATGATATACTTGTGGATCACTATCAGATTCGGTAAATGTTAAAGTATTGATTTTTTTAGCACTTTCAGTCAAAATTCTTAATAATGCAATAGCGTTTTGAGTGCATGGTCTGGTTTTTATGAAAACTGACAAATCTTGAAGCTGAGAAAAAAAATGGTCATTTCGACCTAATGAATAAAATATTTCTGGTTTAATTTCAAAAACTTCATCGTCATCATCACACATATATAAATCTAATTTAGACAATGTGGCACCTCTCTCGATAAATAATTTAAATAGCAAATTAGCAATGTCATATTTCACTATCTTGTCTTCCTTTTGTGTATTAATATTATTCGTGTCATCGATCCATAGTTCAACTTGAGTATCCAAAGCAAATAAACCGAAAACTTTTAAAAAACTTGCATAATGAAATAGGGTATTAGGAAAATCTACGACTATTCCATACTCGTTCAATATGAAAATGTCATGCTCGTTGAGGTATGAAAAGTATCTAGATATAAAAGATGGTTTGTGACTTAATGACAATGGATCTCTCCAAAGAATAGGAATAGACATCTTGCTCCAAAAGCGGCTCACAAGCGTACATGAATATAAAGTGTGAATATCTTCGTTTAAATTGTTTAGAATGTTTTCCATTAATTCAGGTATGTCGCCCATGAATATTTTTGATGCCATGAGAAGTATAATTCGTTTTTTTGTGATAATTAGATTACCGGTGTTAATGAGAGATACGTATAGAACTAAATTTTAAAAAGTCAAATCAAACAAAAATTTCAAATATGAAAACTATACCATAATGGAGAGAGAACCTTATTGTTACCGTTACGTATGTATTTAAAATCTGGTTATCAGTTACACTGCCACTTATACGTGAAACAATGGTGTGCAATTATTTATGAGAGTGATACAAACCCCAAAGGGGAATTAGCCAATCGGTGAACTCAAATTGAGTTTATCCCGAATCACCCCCGACATGTGTAAAGCAAAATAACGAAGTACTGTTACACCTGAAACTACCTCTTATAAGTTCGGTATAACTAATTTACTTTAGCGACGGATATGTTAAACGATTTATAACAAATACCGTATTATGCCTAATCAAACTATATGGGTTGTTTATGTGATTTGCTTTTACGAAAGAGGCTACAACTAGATATATATGAAGTATACTCAATAGGCAAAAGATGTTTATCGCAAAATTTTACTACGATATGATTAAGACCGTTGCGAAGTTGGGGTTTATGTCGTGTATGAAGACACGATTTAGTATTTATTTATTAAATATGAGTGTAGAACTGTCGAATTTTAAGATCTTCCAATATAACATCTTATTTACTAAATATATATTTGATCATTTGTTGTTTGGCTCTAGGAGTACAAGATAGAATATTTTTTTAATTAGAATAATTTTCCTAAATATATATATCTTCTGATTATTATAAAATATTAAGCTGTTTTACTATTGTTTATTTAATTGCGAGGTACATTAGAAAACTTAATTTAAGAAATAAAAAGCTACCCAAATCTAGTAATTTTGAGTTGTTACTTCTTTCAAGTTGTTAGAATTTTTCTTTTAGTGAGCAATTTCTGCAGCTCAGTATGTTAAAATTTAATTGAAATAGAATGTGTACTTTCATTTTGTATATTTTTTTTAATTAATTATATCAAAT